TCAAACTAATACTTATAGATAATTTTTTTATTATAACAATAAATATAATATTAATTTATTTTGATGTAAAATATAGATGTCATATATGATTAATTATATTATACATAAAAAAATTAATTGTAAATAGAAAAATATTATCTTTTAAATTATATTTATAATGTAAGTTTGTAAATTTTTTATAACTTTAAAAGAAAGACTTATGGAAAATGAAAGAGTATGGAAAAATAATTATGCATACAAACCACGTCTAGAACAGGAAATGTTATCAAAACATAATCAATTTTCTTAAAAAGGATCATAAATATCCAATATATTTATGAATATTTCAGTCCTAGTTATTTTTGGATTAGAAGTAAATTAAAATTTATCCAATCTAAATAGCAGAATGAAATCGGCCGTAAAGGATTCTGTAGCGTTCGAGCATGTCAGCCGTAGCACATTCGTGAATTATGTTTAAGGAATTTATAAANTTATGCTTTTTTCTCAGTTAACACGCATTAAACAATATTCTAATTATATATAGGAACTATATTGTGAGCTAAACATACTTTTTCCACATATACTTTTAATTTATTGTAACAAGTAATTATGTAAATATGTCTCTTTCTACTAGCTAGTAACTTGTAACAACATTAATTAATCATCTGTCCATCTTTTGGTTATAATTAAATATTTCTATATCTATACAAAAATAATAATTAAAAATAAATGTTGTCATTCAGTATTTGAAAAACTTGACTTTCGTTGTTAACTTTTTCAATAATTTACACAGTATGGCATGGAAATATTTATATATAAACCAATTATACCAAACGCAAAACTCATCCATTGGCCAAACAAAACCAAATTATTGTTTTAGTCATATGGCGGTTGTACTTCACAATTAATTAATTTAAAAAAATTTATATTTTCAAATTAATACTTATAGGTAATTTTTTTATTATAACGATAAATATAATATTAATTTATTTTGATGTAAAATATAGATGCCATATTAAAAGTCATTAAGATATGATTAATTATATTATATATAAAAAATTAATTTTAAATAGAAGAATAGTAATTTTCAAATTATATTTATATTTAAGATTGTAAATTTTAATAACTTTAAAAGAAAGACTTAGGGAAAAAGATAGATTATGGAAAAATAATATGCATACAGACCATATCTAGAATAGGAAATGATATAAAAAAATATTAATTCTCTTAAAAAGGATCATAAATATCTAGTATATTTATGAATATTTAGACCTAGTTATTTTTGAATTAAAAGTAAATTAAAATCTATCCAATCCAAATGACAGAACGTAAAGGATTCTGTAGCGTTTGATATATTTATAACGATAAATATAATATTAATTTATTTTGAGGTAAAATATAGATGCCATATTAAAATCATAAAGATATGATTAATTATATTATATATAAAAAATTAATTGTAAATAGAAAAATCATAATTTTTAAATTATATTTA